ATCCAACGACCATTTTAGACGCACGAGGAGATTTCCCTTGATGGGCGGCAACGAAGACTCTGACATGGGAAGGGCGACGATGAACAGTTACGACGACATTAGTCCTCGGAAGAAGCATTCGGAGGACGTCGCTGCTGTAAAGGAAACCGGACATGGTGGTGTTGATAAATACGAGGCAGGAGGCAATGAAGAAGGAAAAGATGAAGACATCCGTTGTACAGGGAATGCTGCACAAGGTACTCTTGTTATTGATGAAGATAAAAAATAAATCCCTCAAAATACAACAATAGGGCACTACATTTGTTTTTTGTTTTTTTTTTTGGCTGGTTAATGTTTGTTGTTGCCTTAGGAGGAGGAATGTTGGTAGGAAGAAAAAGCCGTTGCTAATATATAGTAGTGTCTAGCTTTATTATTCTATGTCCACAAAATGATTTCTTTTTATGGCCATTAGTGGATAAGAAAATAAAATAATTTTTGCTGATGAATAGATTAAATTTTATGTATTTTGGTAGCTGTCCCTCATCCCCTTTTTCGGAGAAGGCCGGTTTTATTTGTTGGACATGTGCCTTCTACCATGGATTGTCCATCTTGATGGAGAAAAAAAAAGACCAAACTGGGGTGAAATATTGTTATTAGAGTAAATAGTCCTTTACAATAGAAGTTTTCTACTCCCTTCATCATAAAAAGAATTACTCTTTATAATTCAGAAGTTATGAAATTTTTGCTGAGCAAAAATAGGGCGGTATTGGGACAACACTCGCTGAATTTTGGCGGGCTAGCACGCAGACCACTCTTCGGTTCTTTACTGTCCGTCCTTCGGAAGGCGTTGAAGACGACAACAATTCATTGCGAGTCGAGAGAGACTCGGCAGCACGTAAAGCTTGAAAATGGTGCAATGACAATGTTTTAATTAGGAGAAAATGTATCACCACCCCGCAAGGTCACAGGTTTTCCTTGCCTTGGAAAATCTATCGTGAGGTCGGTGTAATCTTGTGTGACCTTGCTGAGTAATTGTAACCATTGCACACCAAACACAACATCCGGGCCGGCCACGAATGGGAAGGACAAACACATCAACTGGAAATTGGAACCCCTGTAGCAAGAGGGGCATGTTGCGGAATTGTTGGGTACATACCAGGGAAGCAAGGAGGCACCATTACCCACCCACATAAACGCGAAAAGCAGGCAACTTCGATCAACTATAAACAGGGAATTTTCAACGTTGCGAGGTGAATGATGTAGTGAAAGGCTCAAAGCGTTGGTGTAATTGTTCCATGTGATGGTTTAGGGTTTGCATGGTAGTGGTATGGGCGTGAATATGACGATCAATTTGCCGCTACAACTCCCAAAAATTGGCAGTGGCGATGGTGTTGGTAGCCGTGAGAACTCAATGAGAGCACCAGTGATACGAAGTTTAGCGGATAAAGAAGGCTCGGAGCATTTTCAAGCTCAAAAGTGGAATAAGAGGAGCAGAGAAGAGGTGACGCAGGTGAGGTGTCGCGCGTAACCGAGAGGTGAGAGAGATAAGGTTAGGATTGAATATTCTTTATTGATTATTAACCCTAAGGCTTAGGGGGTGTTTGTTTTTTGGCCAGAAGAGCTTCTGGCCTCTTTTGTCTGCGCCGCGCAGACGCGCGCAGATGCTGAGCTCTGCAGATTGTTTGTTTTCTGGAAGACATTTCACTCAAAAAGGTCTTCCTGCCATCTTCTTGGAGAAGACATTAACCTATATCTTCTAACATCTTCTCCATTTTTTTCTTCTACTTCTCTTCACCACCATCACCGCCACCGTCGTCCACCACCACCGCCACCGTCCACCACCGTCCACCATCACTGTCACAGTCCATCACCACCGTCGTCCACCACCACCGCCACTGTCCACCACTACCACCATCCACCGTCACCGTCCATCACCATCGTCGTCCACCACCACCGCCCACTACCACCGCCGTCAACGTCCACCACCACCCTTCACCACCACCACAATCGTCCATACACCACCACCTTACACTACCACCATTAATTTATATAGCAGTCTACACACATTAAAAAAACAAACAGTCTTCTTCTTGCAGACTGCAGACCTTTGGTCCATCACTTCTCCTGCAGATGTCTATAGTAGTGGTCTGCAGACTGCAGACCTTTTCCTGCAGAAAAAACAAACACCCCCTTAGTCTCTATTTATAACACATAGAGAGGCCCAAACCTAAATAACTAGGTTTTCTATCATGACGATTTAAGAAAAATGACGAGATAAAGAAGCGAAAATAAACTCTAGAATGAGCTTATATTTTGCTCACCTATGAAAATACAAAATTACATTTCAATTTAAGTAATAAGAAATTAATGCATGTTGTAGTCCCGTTGCCGATGCGTTGCGCGCCTTGGCCTATCACATTGGCAAACCTCAGGTTCAACCTGTATTACTTAGCTCATACCAATTACATTAATACGAAGTAAGATTATTGGGAAAAATGTATGCAAATTTTACTTTTCTCTCAGTCTCAAATTAAAATGCATGTTTACTATTCACGGGGTGAAACTTCATTTAGTTACATTCCTTGTTTTTGTTAGTTATTTGATAAAATAATATAGTCGTGTCACCATTATTTTTGTAGATCTTTTGATGTATTTTTACAATACATAATTTTTATTTTATTAATTCTATACCGTTTTTCATATAATATGATTTGAAAATAACTATAGTTAAATATTGTAAACCAAAATAGATGATTTAAATGGGGAGGGAGTGTGTATCTACTTGAAAGAGGTTCTTTTCTATACTACCTGACAAATTTGAGCATGTACTTGGACAACCCATCTAAAGTTTTACGAGTACCAAATATAGTATTCACTTCCTCTGCACTTTCTCTTTTGGAATACCCAAAATATTATACACTACTTTTTTATTTCCCTAATAAAGTATTCCAGCCAAATAATATCGTATGTGGTTTCAATTTCTTTTTAATTTTCTAAATAAATATCGATCATTCACTTTTTCATTTCTCTAAATAAATTTCGATCATTCTCTTTTTATTTTTTAATATTTAATATTTATTTTAAACTATTTGAAGTCAAACAACATCACGTTGATCCATTCATTTTGTCCTAACAAATTCAACCTCGATATAAATATCTTTTCAAGTTGAAATATTTTGGAATTTTTAAATTCTGAAGATATCAATATGAAAAGTTTGATATCAACCTCAACCGTTGGCCGTTGTCGTGATCCATCCATTGTTGCTAGCAACCAGTGTCCATTTACCACTTCTGCCACTCTCCTTTGTTGGCCACCTGCTCTCGATGATCACCCCGTCACTGATAACCACCGTTTCGAATATTTTCAAAGATTCTTTTTAAAATTTTAGAACACATTACTTCTTCTAAATTTCAGAATGCATATCACATCAACCATGTTTCGCACACCAAAACGAGACAAAAAAACCTCACAAACTCTCCCTCCGCATTCTCTTAGGCCCCGCTTGGTAAAAATGTTAGCGATAGAGTTTTGAAAAACTTATTTAATGGTAACTTTTGGTGTTATGTTTTTTGAAAATTAATATGCACTACTAACATTGTATTTAAAATATTAACGCTAACAAAGGCTTAATCTCTTTCTCTCTCTTCCTCCCTTAGTTCTTTCGTTTTATTTTCCGTGGAGATTTGAAGAGCATAGCATTAATGTTGGTCTAGAGCAAAAAAAATCTTTCAAAGATTTGGAATCCTTTTATACTTATGAATTAATTAAAGCATTTATAGAATGAATGCATTTTTGTTTGTAGTCAATGCTGCATCCGGAATTGTCAACGCATATCATCAAGTGACCATACAATTTTTCCTCCTTTTGACCTAAAGTTTGCCACCATGAATCATACTCTTTGGTCCCAAATTAGATCCTAAATGTGACATAGTTGTATATTTTATTAAATAAGTAATGAAAATAGGTAATAAAATTTGATAATCTGAATAATGAACATGAAATTTAAATTAGAATGGAGAGAGTAGTGGTACTTTCGAATACTGCTCTTTTTAATTGTTAAATTTATGTGCAATATTTGTAGTCGGTAATTCATGGTAAAATAAAAGAAGGTGAAATTGATATGTTTGATAACTTTTTTTACGTTTCAAACAAGATTTGTGTTTATTTCTTTTTTTAGTAGGAGTAATAAATGTGTCTCCCTAATTTAATTCTAATTATACATTTTTTAAAATCACGTGAAGAAAAAAATATATTTAAAAAAATTGGGATGAAGGATGTATAAATAATCTCTAATTTTGCATGTTCCACGAAAATAGATAATGCTCGATGATGAACTTTGCACGAATAATCTAAACCATCTCGGCTCAACTAGAGATGTTAGACAATAATAATAATAAAAATATATACCAAGTATTTATTTAATTTACTATGATTTTTCCTATAAATATTACTACCTCTGTCCCAATTTATAACGCCTATTTCGGTTTACGATGTTTGACTGAAATTATTTTCAAACCATTTTATATGACAAATGGTATAGAATTAAAAAATAAAAATTACATATTAAAAAACTACATCAAAAGATCTACAAAACTAGTAGTGACAATAATATTTTATTTTATCAAATTGCTAACAAAAATAGAGAAAGAAAGTGAATAAAGTTTGACCCTGTAAATAGTAAACAGACATTATAATTTAGGACGGAAGGACTACTAATATCTCTCATAATATATCAAATCACAAATGAGTTGCGTATGTTTGAATGATTGGGTCACAGGATACATTATAAACTTTTTATTTCTCATTCTATTTCTTTGGGTTCAGAGTATTCGTCGAATTTAATTTATTTTAATAAAAAAGAACGAACTTCAATCATTCTTATACTCCTGGCAAGTGTTGACTTGGACAAAGTTGACCATATTTTTAAAATTGGGTTGGGTTGTAGAGCTTCACCTTAAAAAACATGTAATTCACTTGATCATATGGTTAAACAACAACAATCACACCCAAACCACACACACACAATTGTATAGCAAAACATCATAGCCTTGGTATACACATACATACAATCATACACCATTACAACAACTAGAAAACACAATAAAAACCAGAAAACATCATAATAATATGGGCAGACAACCGTTTACTTGCTCATTAGCGCCCGATCAAAGACGTGCCCTCCCCAATCTGAAGGGAGGCAATGGCTTGTTCTGCAACCAAGTGTGGAGAAATCCCCACCATCTCCCAATTCCCTCCTCCCTCGCAGTAGTATCCCGACGACGACCCCACCCAAACACGGTCCCCCAATCTGCTACCCTCCCATCCAAACACGGTTCTTCGTCCTCTGCCCATAACAAACACGTCCTTTTTCTGCATGGTGTGGTCCCCATCTTCTTCCTCTTCTTCGCCCAGTAACACGTGCAGAGCCACGGCTTCAGCAATGGCAGCACCTTCTTCGTCGAGCCTCTTCTGCTCTTCTTTCTTCCTCTCTTTCTTCTTTTCTAATTCTGATCTAATTGCTGCAGATGTGGCTAATGCCTTCTCTAACCGTCTTTTCTTCTTCTCGGCCTGTTTGGTTCGGTCCAGCTCGTTCTTCCCTTGTTTTTTCTTCAACTTAGTACTGACACTGGATGGGTGTGCTACTTTTGCACCGTCCATATCTTATATAGAGCACCAATTATTCTATAGACTATACTATTTTCCTAAGAAGTATACTTCAATGTGTATTCCCTTTCTTTCTATAAGTCATTATGTGATGAATATGTAGAAAACAAACCGACTGAAGTAGTACTGAAAGACTATGAAATTGTAAGGTAATACTTTGAAAACAGAGATGATATTATGATCTACACCCACTCCGGTCTATGCGAGTACCTCATCTTGCGCACAATGCAATCCCACACAGAAACAACGGGAGACTGAAGAAGGATGAAGTGGTAAGAGCTCATAGTTCTGTCCTGTGCCAGTTTTCCCGATTTCCCAGAATTCTTGCATTTTCCCATGTCACACAAACCACCCAAATTAGTAAGATTTGATTGAGAACCGGCAAAAAACAATCTCAGACCAATTAAAGCAACTTACATGGCCTTCCCCTCCTGCCTGAAAAGAAAAAAGGTCAGTAATCGAATATAAAACACAGCAAAACATCAAGAAAGGTGAGAATAACCTGTTCCTATGTCCTATCTAATAACAACATTTATAAGATTCCCACCAACACAACCACAAAAAGGACCAAAAGAGAGATTCCAGATCGGGAGAAGCATTGAGAAAGCATCATGTTCTTTATTTAGTAAGTTACATATGGCACGACTCAAAGGTATGATCAAGAGTCTGGTTTAAGAAAGCATCATATACCTCACAACTACCAACAAGAATCACCCCAAACACAGTATATGGGTATTGGGGGCAAACTGTACAAAGACCTAACTTCTATTCCAAGGAGTGGAGAGGCGGTTTCCGATGGGAAACCTGAACCAGGGCACGGGCAACAATCAGAATACCCAAATCATGCACTATCTCTACATTCCAATAGCTACACATATAAAACAGATTAAGGACACCAATTACTAATCATCCGTTGGTTTGATCGTTCAGAAAACAGAAAAAAGAATCCTTTTCCCCATTTTTTTTCTTTTGGTGGTGGAGTTCGAACCCTAATTAAAAGAATAGTTGCAATTAGACCGATTTTTGTCCCATCAAACTCGTATTCCATATAAATCGATTGAAATCACTTCAAAAATTCAGGCAAAAACTCAATTTAAGAAGAAACCAAAACCGATCTACCACGTAACCAATCGCAATACTAGTCAGAGGCCAAACAAAGCAGAAACACATGACTACTGCACGAATCATATACGAGAAGTTTCAGATCTGATTGATTGAATGGAGAGAGAGAGTGATAGAAGCAGACCTGGTGAGCAAGAAACCGCCGCCCCCGCCAGAAAAGAAAAATCTACGCTCTTGCGGTGGTGAATAGAATAGACAGGCTTGGGATCAGAATCTCAGAGAGTTCATCGCCATTAATATACTGAGGAGTATTTGGATCTTGAAGATCGAAGAGACGGGGAAGAGTAGGAGAAGGGTAAAATGGGCAATTCGATTAAATAGGACGCGTGGAGGTTAAAAGGTACCATTCGTCCCACGCAGTTTCTCAAATCTCAATAAAGTAAATTTGGTCACACCAACTCCAAAAGTAAAGAAAGATCTACTAAAACAGTTGAATTTGTTGTACATAAAATTTGACACTAATGTAAAGGTCAAATAATAGGAAAATGCTAAAAACTCCACCCTTGCTACTAACCATGTTCCCTACATAAACATGTGGTAGGGAGACAAGAAAATTAAAATTAGAGGCTGAGTGGAGAATGGATAGAGATAAATATGTGGTGGAAAAGTGGGTGGAGGCAAGGTTGGTTGCAAGGGTGGGGGTGTGTAGCACGGTCCCAAATAATATTCTCACATTTCTAAAAAATTGTTACAGATTTGACTAAAGTAATTTTAATTTAATTTATTTACTTGTAAGGGTAAAATTCAATAATAAAGTTTATATTTGATGATATTGTTATCAAATAATTAATAAAATAAATAAATAAAGTGAACAAGTTTGACGATACAATTAATAAATGAGAATATAATTTTAGAATGAAGAAAGTCTTTTACGGAGTATATGTTATATGTAGTCGGGTAACAAAAAATGTACTCTCTAGTTCCTACAACCTGAATTAATTTACACATATTGGTTTCATGTGATTTAAAAAGAAAAATTGCTCCGTAAGATATAAAAAATAATGTAAGTGATTATTTATTTAGAAGAAAGAAAAATGATACATCTACTTTATTACTCCGTAAAAAAAGCAAGAAATTGTGATATTTTTGGCTAAATTAACAAAGAACATTTATTAGATGATTTGGTTCTCAAAAAATGATGTACTAGTTGATTTGGTTCTTTGTGTATACGGGACACGATATAAGTTCTCTGAAAAATAAATTGAAGATATGTTGTGTATGGATTTATATTCAAAAGGCCACGAGAAAAGCCAGTGAAAGAAAAAAAGAAGAAGATAGAAAATGAAGGGTTGGAAATCAGGAGGGGCAGTGACAAATATAGCACAACTCTATTAATTCGTAAAAAATATGTGAGGAGAGTGGACCTATGTTAGCACAACTCTACTAATTCTCTATTTTTAAAAAAATGTTTTCTACATCCTCAAATTGTTTTTTAAGTACTTATCAAGTTTTTATATTTTCTAATTGGTACCTAAGTAATTCCTCTGGTGCCTTTTCCATGTTTGTGCCTTTCTTTCCTTTTTTTTAGTTTACCTTTTGTCATATTTATATGACCCATAATCTTCTTCCTCTTCAAGATTGTATAACGAGTCCAATTGGACGTATAGTCTTGTAAGAATTTGGTGTTACACAGGACAGCTAATTCAAAATAGTGACTATACAATTTTCCTTGTCACCCAGCACATGACATGTACCACACCCCTCCAGAAGTTGGGGCCATCTATGAAAATTATCAAAGATGACAACCCCAACGGGGCAGAAAGGAACACCAAAATTTATACCATATATACTCTACCCCTCTATTCAAACATGTTGTTTAGAATTTATGATAATTATTCAAAATAAAAATAGGTAGTAAAACTATTAAAAAGAAGAGATATTTAATGTCACATATATTTCTTTTCTTGAAATAAAATAGAAAATTCCACGAAGGAATGAAGTTTCGTGGGAGGAAGAGAATGTATGAGATTGTCTGCATTATTGCTTACTACCCCGGAATAATCTAATTATACTCGTTACGAGATTCCAATAAAAAAAGAATAAACCTCAACTGAAGAAATTAATTAAACTATAATCTCAATCTAGCGAATAGTCGATATAGGGTAGAGTTTTGATCCCAATACAAAAATTGTAGAGACTTCGGGGCTGTTTGGCAACTTCTGAATAGGTAAGTGCTGAACAAGTAAAAGGTCTGAACTATTAAGTGCTGAACCAGTAAGAGGTCTGAACCATTAAGAGCTAGTATATTGCTTAACTATTCAGAGGCAAATGTCTGATCAATTCAGATTAGAGGTCTTAACCATTCAGACTCTGTATAATACTTAACCATTCAAAGGCAAATCTCTTAACCATTCAGACATCTGAACCATTAAGAGCCTGAAACAAACAGTCTGAACCATTAAGTGCTGAACCATTCAGACATTTGAACCATTAAGAGGATGAAACAAACAGTCCCTTCATGTTTTGCACGATAGTCTCTCAATACATGTGTCATGATTCAAACTCGGTTCTACTCTTCTGACACCCAAAAGCAACATGTGTTTAACTAAGTTTGCTGGCTACACCTCCTTACAAGATATAAGATACAACAAATGAGGTTCGGCAAAAGAGTTAACAATTTTGACCAACTAAAAAACAATCTTTAATTTACATGGAACTCAAAAATGGGCTATTGGAGGAATGCACATCTGCTTGATATCCCCATTGAATGGGGTCTTCAAAGGCTGCACTTTGATCTCATAAAGTTTGGGCCATAGTTTGCCAGTCACTGTATGGAGAGTTTCCTTGCATTATAAACTACTGGGTGCTCATATTTTATCACAAGCATATACTAAAACTAGATGATTCTAAACCTATACTCCGTATTATCATACGAATGCATTGTCTAGCTGCTCTATTCGGCCATGAAAATTAGATAATAATATGTACAAGCTCATATCTATAGGTCTTAATAACAAAGGTAATTTGTTGTCTCCAAATTAGCTTCTCACTTTTTTTTTGTACTCAGTTTACATACATTTCGATCACGAAGTACTTATGTTGCTCCTTTCAATTTGACTCGGTTAACATTGATCCTCTGCCTCACATCTTTATCAATGCCTTCATTTCCTTATATAATACCTTCCATCTTCCTCTAAAAAAAATCACACGTAGATGAGGTTGGATAGGATTTGGAACAAGGTCATTCGGGGACGGGTGGGAGTGGCATGCGTGGATGATAAGTTGCGAGAAGCTAGGATGAAGTGATTCGGGCACATGAAGCAGAGAGGTGTTGAGGCCCCAATGCGGAGATGAGAGACTACGAGACGCTTATGATAATGAGTGAGAGTGGGGTAGACCTAGAAAGAGTTATGAGATTTCAAACTTTTGGACCATTCCGAGAATATGACCTTAGATTGGAGAGATCTAGAATTAGAGTACTGGGGTAGGCTGTTAAGCCTTGGTGGTAGTCTTTGTGCAAGTGCTTTCTGCTCTTGTTTTATGTGCATTCTCTGCAGGAGTCTAGTTGCTAGTTTGGGTCTGTGTGCTACATGTCTTTGTGCACTTTTCTTTGCTTTTACAGTAGTTTGCTCTTTGCTATTGGTTTGTTTGATCTTGTCTTCAGTATTTTTCTTTGCTTCTAGCCTGCTATTAAATATTACTCTGTTTGTTGGTTTACATTGTCTGTGCTTGAGAAGGGGTCTCTTAGAAACCTCTTTTATTTCGAGTAGGGGTAAGGTCTGCGTACACACACCCCTTCCAAACCCTACGTTAAGTGGGAATTCACTAGGTCGGTAGTCCCTCAAACGTTCCCAGAAGAGTGTGTCTTCCAAATATATGTTATATGTCTAAAGTTTATGTGCATCAGATATGGATCAAGAATAATTGTACAGCTGTACTGTTTTACGTGCAACAACATCAACCCAGTTGAATCCCACAAGATTGGGGAGGGTGTTTTACGTGAACAACAAATGACGGGCTTACCAAAAATACGGCTTCCATCTTTATCCCATGCTATGCCATTCAGGGCATCAATTCTCTGTAAGGTAATCAAACACAGATTAAATCTCAAGGATAAGAAACAATATTAGTATATGAAAAAGAGGCAGCTCAAGCGAAAATGCTTACTGTGTACCCACTTGCTAGTAATCCTTCTCTGTAAAATAAATAAAAAAAAGCACTCACACACACATCTCAGCAAATGGTCTGTTCAATTCTAAACTATGTTCCCATAAATTTGAGAATAAACAGCATTGTTGGGGGGGGGGGG